ATTGATTTGTGTTCGTATGGAATTCTCTGCTCTTTTGTGTAATCACAGCAATAAATTTTTTGTTTTGTTTTTACATCAAAGTTTAGCACTGGGGCATTGGCCTCCTTGCTCTGTTCTTAAATTCCATGAAGCCCCTCTTCCATTGGCAGAGCAGGGGTACATGACAGCAGCTCAAGAAGGACTTAACTATGGGTAGTATTTCCTTTAAGATATTTATGATTTTTCAAAAATTGAATATGGCTTCTAGGTGACAGTCTCCAATCTGATGTGTTGATCACAGCCTGGCCTCACTGTGGAAGACACAGACTTGAGAACCAGACTGCCTGGCTCTGAGTTCCAATTTTCCCATGTAAAAGCTGGCAGGTTAGCATTTCTGTACTTCAGTTTCTTTATGTACGAAATGAGGACTATAATAAAACCCACCTCATGGTATTGCTGTGAATGTTAAATGAATTAAGAAGACAATTAGAACAAAGCCAGAGCCATGCAGGCACTCAAAAAAAAATACTATAATGATGATTCGTATTCATGAAAACATTTATTGTCACTCCTAAATAGCTCTTTAACATGTAGATAATGAAATCACCACAACAATACTGTAACACATCACAGTGCTGGATTCAGCCTTAGAAGCTGAAGTAGGAACTAATAATAAAGAACCCAAACCCTTCACTGAGTGAGGCATTTTATATGGGATAAGCCTGAACTCCATTTCCTTGGCTAAATTAAACATACTATAAAACAACGTAGACCTTTTAACATGCATTTTTGCCAGCCAAGATCAGTGGTCAGAAAATCCATAGAAATCACCCAATTCCTTTAGGAAGAAAGAAGGAAGGGATTTCTGACTAACATAAGGCCCTTGCAAAGTCTGAAGTATATGATGGTCTACTGCTTCTGGTATTCACTAAAACTAGTAAATATTATGGGAAAGTGTATCCCAGAAAGGAAAAACGGAGCCTGAAGTAAAAATGTAAGCAACGTAAATGTAATTGAAACAAGGAGAAAGGAATAAAAGTTGTATCATTAGAAAAATAAAGCCTTATTATATGTTTCTAGGAAATATATATTTTTTTCCTTTTCAAAGTAATTTCTTTTGGTTCACTTTTCAGTTGACTGAATTTTCTCTTCTAGTACTTTTTTTGTTTTTACATATAGTTACGAAATTTTTTTCTTGTGATAACTTTTGAGATGAACTCTCCTAGCAACTTCCAAATATGCAATACAGTATTATTACCTATAGTCACCATGCTGTACATTACATTTATAAAATAAATGTGTACTTTTTGCTCCTTCACCCATTTATCCCAACCCTCACCACCAGCCTCTGGCAATGACCAATCTATTCTCTATATCGATGAGCTTATTCCTGTTTGTTTTTCTTTTCTAGGTTCCACAGACAAATACAGTATGATCTCCTTTATATTTCTCTAACTTATTTCACTTAGCACAATGCCCTCAAGGTCCATCCATCTTGTCACAAATGGCAAGAATCTATTCTTTTTTATTGCTGAAAACGTTTCATTGTAAAATTTTACATATATATCACATTTTCTTTATCCATTCATCCATTGATTGATGGAATCTTAAGTTGTTTCTGTGTTTCCATGTCTTGGCTATTGTACATGCAGTGAGCATAAGGGTGCATAGGGGTGCAGATATCTTTTTGGAATAGTGGTTTCCTTTACTTTGGAAAAATACCCAGGCGTGGAACTACTGGATCATACAGTAGTTCTTTCTTTTTTTTTTTTTTTGAGGAAACTCCATACTGTATTCATAGTGGCTGCACCAATTTGCACCCTCACCAACAGGGCACAAGTGTTCCCTTTTCTCCATGTCCTCACCAACAATTGCCATTTCTTGTCTCTTTGATCATAATCATTCTAACAGAAGTGAGGTGATACCTCATTGTGGATTTGATTTGCATTTCCCTAGTGATTAGTGATATTGAGCATCTTTTCATGTACCTGTTGGTCACCCACTTGTCTCCTTTGGAAAAACGTCTGTTCAGATCTTCTGCCCAATTTTTAATCAGATTATTATTTTTTTTTTTTGCTACTAAATTGAATGAGTTCTTTACATATTTTGGATATTAACCCCTTATCAGATACAATTTACAAATATTTTCTCCCATTCAGTAGGTTGCTTTTTCCTTTTGTTGATGATTTCCTTTGCTATGCAGAAGCTTTGTAGTTTATCTAGTTCCACTTGTTTGTTTCTGCTTTTGTTGCCTTTGGTTTTCGTGTCATTAAAAAATTACCACCAAGACCTATGTGAAGGAGCTAACCGCCTATGTTTTCTTCTAGAAGTTTTATGGTTTGGGGTCTTATGTTCAGCATTCACATTGAGTTAATTTTTGTGTACAGTGTAAGATAGTAGTTCAGTTTTATGAGAAGAACAGTTAAAAGTTCTGTAACTATGACTCTTGTCAGATATACACACACAACACATTGAGATTTTTGCTATAACCTTAATTCGTCATTTATACTTCCCTATAAAAAGTTATCACATAATTGAAAAATATATTACTAAACTTAAAGCAACCTCATAGGCCTGTAATTTACTAAATTCTTTAAAAGTCAGTTTAAATAGCTGCAGCCTGCTCTACAGGAATTTACAATCCAAGATGAGAAATGCTGATGTTGTTTTAAAATAAATACAATATGTATAGAAAACAAACAGAGGAAGGGGAGGGAAAACTACTACCTCAATTCCCTTTCAAGAGAGAAGCATCCAAAGAAGATAGCGGATGGAGCAGAAAGCTAGGTAAGAGTAAGTTTCTCGGCCTTCCAAGTGTAGGAGGAGACCCGGAGCAGGCACAGAACTGGGACGCAATGATTGGATGAAACAGGCTTCTGAGTCCTGTATCTCCTTTCAGGCTAGTATCTACGGTTGGAATTTCCCACTTTTCTATTTCATACCTGCATAGATTTACCTTTAAAAATGTCTATATTTTCATTTATATACAATGCAAAATAGAAAAAAACTAATCTATAGTATTAAAGAAGAGGATAATGGTAAATTTGGGGAGGTAGTGACTGAAAACACAGGCAGTTATTTTCTGGATTATAGTTAAGTTTTGCTTTGTTTTGTATGCCTGTTATACTGGTTTCCAGTTTACTATACACATTCATTGAGCTGTGCAAGCATTATTGGTGCATTTTCCTGTATGTATGACTTATTTCAGTAACATTTACATTTCTCAAAACGTCAATTCACATCACATCACTTCCTCTATGAAGTTTTTCCTGCACTACCTTTTCCATCTTAGGTGACTCTCCTTTTTCTAGTTTTCCTATACTGACAATATTAAGGTTGGTTAAAAGGAAGAGATCATATTTTTTTGTTGTTTTTTATCACCAGCAACCAAAAGAGGACTGTTATTAACCAATGCCTAATCAATTAGCAATGACAAAATAATTAAGTGACAAATACATAAGATTTGCATGATCAAAATACGAGTACCAAGAAAGACAATTAAAAATTGCTGACAATTAAGATCGTGAAGAAGATGGTGAGGCGATTCCTTAACTTATATGAAAATGTCTAGTTAGCATGTAGGTACTGATTACCATTATTTCATACCCCACAAATTTTAAACTAATTTTGAAGTTGAAAATTATGGAGGCTTCTTACCTATAATTTATCTTTTTCCTATATTTTCATCATAAAGGACTCTCTGTCCAGGAGATGTGAGCAAATCACACTTAGAAATTTATAAATAGTATAGGAGCAATACAAGATAAGGATATTACACTCGTTAACATATATGCACCTAATATATGTTCTATATATATAGAAGTACCTATATACATAAAACAAATACTAACAGACATACAGGGAGAAACTGATCGGAACACAATCATAGTAGGAGACTTTAACATCCCATTAACATCATTGGACAGATCTTTCAGACAGAAAAAGCAATAAGGCAACAGATACTAAATGACACCATGGAACAGTTGGACTTGGTTGATATTCTTAGGACATTACATCCCCAAATAACAAAATATACATTCTTTAAGTGCACATGGAACATTCTCTAGAATAGATCACATACTTAGGCACAAAAGAAGCCTCAACAAATTTAAGAGAACAGAAATTGTATCAAGCATCTATTCTGATCATAATGCCATGAAACTAGAAATCAACCACAGAAAAACAAATAAAAAAACGATGGCATGGAGACTAAACAACATGCTACTAAAAAAATCAGTGGGTCAAATATGAAATTGAAGAAGTTTAAAAATACTTTGAGAAATGTACAAATAGAAACTTCCTGATAACAGTAATCTTGGATTTATGTATGTATTACTTCTTGGGCTTCTATTTGACAGAATTTGCCATATTCTATAGATACAAATATAAATAAAATGAGTTCCTTTCTTCAAAGAGCTTACTAGTTAGTGGAAAGATACAAACGTATATGTAATAAATGTAACAAATGCTATATTAACAATTAACAGAGTTCTGGGAAAAGTTTTACAAGTAGCTACACTTTCAATAAAGCAGCAGCCCAGGTCTTAAACTATCTTAGAATTTCAAACTAAATGGATTTTCTGCCTTCATAGATTTGTCTAAATGTGAGTTGTGATGTTATACATTCCAAGGTCATGAAACCAGAGAGCTGGTGGGAATAGCACAATTTGGACCTGAAGATATGGGAAAATCATAGCTATTTGAGGGTGGTGGGTGCCTCATGTTTCCTGTGACACTGACAGCAGAGATAGGGTCCTAAGTTCATTACCCTATCACCTATGGTAGTTTTTTTATAACTACTGAATCCCTATCTGTTTATTTTTGAAACCAGAGATGTGGCTATGACTTTTGCTTTCATCTCCAGCATGTAAAGATTCTGGAACTCATCACTCTCATCCTTACAATAAGAAAACGTTAAAGTGAAAAATCAATGACTTTTCTTAAACCCTACAGAGAACCCCTCTCTTAATATCTAGAAAGAGAGAGAAGGGCATCTGGAGGTAGAGCTGAGATTTTCTTACCTGGAGCAGAAGCAGCTGGAGCTGTAAACTGGTAGGAACACTCACAGGGTGATTTTGACGAACTGCCAAAGGCTGAGTCAGAGGTATAGCTTGTGATCTTTGGGGGCGGTCCACAGTTGCATGGGATTTATTTCCAGGAAGATACATGGAATATCCCCTCTGGCTCTGGCAGGGAAAGGGGATGAATAAACATTGTAAAATACACCCACAGTCTTCTCCATAACAAAAGCCTATTCTTTAGGGGAAAGGATTCTGCTAAAGCTTTATTCTCAGTGAGAGGAAGAAAATTTCTTCCAAATCAGCCCCCTTCCAGCCTTCTTGTCTCAACTAAGGGGAAAACAAAAACCAGAGGCAACAGGTCAGGAAATTAACTGACAATGTTGGAGCCAGGAAACTGAGTAGGAGGCAGAGGGACATAAAATATATGTGAAGGTAATGGTCCTGAGACACAAGCCCATGAAAAGACAGATTTAATCCAAGATTATAGAATATACTCTTTCCACACCTTCCCAGCATACTAACACAACTCTAGTTTAATAAAATGGATTCTATCGAAAGGACTGCAAACTATAGGCTCTCTCTGAGAAGGAGCACTTAGGGAAGACTGCAGTAAAGAGGGAAGACAAAAAAACATGGACACTAGAGGAATCTGAAGCCCCAGGCATCTACAGCAAACATTAAACACAGCACAACTCTGCCAGATTAACATATCCTCAAACTAAAGGCCTATTTATCTCAGTTCCTATTACTTGATATAACATTTCTAGCTTTTGGCATGAAATTAAAAAAGACATTCCAAATAGTAAGAAAGAAACACAATATAAAGAGATACAGCATCATAATTAGACTCAGATATGACACAGATTTGGGGATTATCAGACCATGATTTTCAAATAGGTATGAAAAATTTAAATGTTTAAAGTTTTAATGGAAAAAGGAGTCAACATGAAAGAGAAGATAGGCAAAAGAAGGTAAGCAGAGACATGAAAATTCTAAGACTGAAAAGGAAATACTAGAAATCAAAAACATTGATTGAAATAAAGAGTGTCTTTGATGGGCTTATCAATTAACTAGACACAGCTAAAGAAGGAATCACTGTTCTTGATGAAAGCTCAACAGAAAATTCTTAATCAGAAATGGAGAGAAAAAATAATGGAAAAAACAAGTAAAAAAACTAGAATGTAGAACTGTGGGACAATTTCAAAAGGTGTAACAGACATAATTGCAATAAAAGAAGAAGAAAGGATAGAGCAGAAGAAATGTTTGGAATGGCAATGTTCAAGGATTTTCCAAAATTATGACTGTCAAACCACAGATCTAGGAAGCTTAGAAAACAAGCAGGATGAATACCAAACAGCAATGATAAAATCCCATACACCTAAACATATCATATTCAAACTGCAGAACACTAAAGACAAAAAAAAGGGCAGGGATACCCTACCTCTAGAGGAACAGGGATAAAAATTATGGTGAACTTCACACAAGCAAGAAAAGAGGGCTGGGAAATCATTAAAGTGTTGACAGAGATGTTAGTATGACAGTGCAGCTAAAAATTTAATATTAAAAATTTAATATTAAAAACTTAAAAATACAGAAAGTTTCCCCTAATCTCAGAAAATTCTGACCGAGGAGCTCTGATAAGCGATCTGGAGAGGTCAATTTCAGGCATTAACTCCAGGTGATTCTGGCCCCGATGGTTGATGGATCACATTTTAAGAAACACAAAGCATGTTGCAAAGCAAACATCAAGACAGGATCAGACATGCAAGGGTTGTAAAAGGGGAAAAGCCAAGAGACAGGGAGCATTGAGTTTGGGAGAGACATCAGGACAGCATGCAAGTTTAATTACCAGTGAAAGAGAGAGAAAATGGGATTTGGGTGGAAGCACCCCAGACATCATCCAGTCTAAGGAACATTCAACCAGGTTGCTGGAGAGTCCTTCAGATCAAGTAGGCTGTCATAGAAGTCCCTTGTCCTTCAGAAACAGGCCAACCTTAGGGTACTACTCAAGTATAATCTTTAATTTGGAGCAACCCATGGGAAGTATGACTTCAGTGCAAATGCTGTGATGGATTGCAGAGCAAAGCATCTGTAGTTGTGTGTGTACAACTGTCGTTGTGCCCATGATTGTCACAGGACCATAGAAATAATTCTATCCCGGTATATTTTTATAATCTAATAATATCCCCATGAGGTAATCAAATCTCAGACATGTTATATAATTTTCCAGTGATTACATAAGTAGACAATTAGGACCCAGGTATTCTCATTCTTATGCTGGGATTTATTATTTCTAAAGCTAGAACCATTTTTATTGTACAAAGAATGTTGAATTAAAGCATAAAATTTAGAGAAATTTTAATATGGCTAATCTACAGGTGAGGAAGGAAAAACAACTGTCAGAATCACTTAATTTTTTTTAATTACTGGGAGACAGCTATTTCTGAAGTAAATTAGGAAATAAATTCCATAGGAATATGTCTGCCAAATTTTAGTTATTGTTTCTCAGCACCAAATCTACCCTTCTAACTTTCTATAATGGAAATGGGAATCAAAACCCACTTCTGCTCAGCCACCAGCTCCCGATGGGCTTTGTCAGGAGCAGGCAGCAGCAGGAGGTGTCTATACATTTGGAGGAGGGAGAAGAGACTGCACCATCTTGTTTGTTTCCTGCAAGTCTTCTGCTTTCTTCTCACTTGTTCCCTGTCCCTGTGTCAGCCCAGCACTTCTTCCCTCCAACAGCAGAGGTTCCTGGCTGGTACATCCTGAGTCAGGACTGCACTTTCTAGGAGTCCTGTAGAACCAGCCACAGAGCCCTACCCCCACCTCCTAGCAGCAAGAGCCAGCCAGAGCCTCCTCCTCCTAGGAGGGGAGAAAGTCTGGGTCTCTGTCCTATGGCCCCTCCTCTGAGCTCAGAGACACCAGCTCAAGATCAGCAGTACTTCCTCCTCCTCAGAAGTCTGTGTTTCCGCTCCATGGGTCTTCCTCTAAGCTTCTATGCCATTTAATTCCAACCTCTTCCTTCTGTTCCCTAGCCCTAGGGATGGAGGCTACTTCCTGAAATAGTACCTTTGTTATATCTAATATTCTTTTCTTGCGTTTTGAATTCTCTATTAAACCCCTTTACACTCAGCTAACAGTTCTCATATTGACAACAAGCATTGTTCCTGATGCCTTGATTGGACACTGACTGGTAGGATGGGAAGAAATTAGAGAACAGATAATCCCACACATTTGGTATCTAGTATCAGATTATATCTGAGAATTATAAGCAAGCTGAGATATTTTCAAGTCAAGCAAAAACAGGTATTAGGTAGAGTCTAAGAAATAGCTAAATTCACAGAGATTCAGACTACATCTTCTTTTGAATATGTGTGCATTACAAGGCTGATGGAAAAAGTTCATTTGGGAGTGAATAAACTTTGTTGACCATCAGCCACCCACTTCTCAGTGTTCTCTCTTTATTCTCAATTTAAAGTAATATTCCTCCAGTTAACCTATACTGGTGATTCTCAATGAAGTTGAGAGAAGTGTAACAGAAAGTCAGTTTAAATTATGTAGTTTGGACAACATGCATAGAGTTGAGATTTATTGTCCAAGTTTTCTCCTTGCATTAGTCAAATCTGAGAGAGACTTGGGTATCCCAAGAACTACTATTTTGCTGAAATGACATAAGTAGATATAGAGGTGCAATTTCAGAAACATGATTATGAACTTGTGTTATTTACTATGAAATGTTGTTGAGGATAGGCTAGTTTTTTGTTTTTGGTAGTTGTATTAGTCAGGATAGGCCAGCTCTGAAGCAGTAAGAAACATACAAGTTTATTTATCACTCACACGATCTTTATCATGGGGTTAGTAGCTCCATAGGGAAGCTATTTTCAATAACTGGAGGATCTGGGCTGTTTCTTTTCTGTGATCTTTTTCTCTAGGACAGTGAAAGAGAAAGGAGAATTTCAATGTGGTTCTTAAATTGTCCCACCCATTAGAAAAGCACATCAGTTTCAATTATGGCCCTTTGGCTAGATAATGTATTCATATCATCCCAAAATTTAGGTGGTTAAAAAACATGGAGGGAGCACATTGATACTCCACAACCAGTAAGTGTCTCTGGCACCTTAGTCCTCACTGATTCACAGTAATACTTGCAGAATTCTGTCACAAAAATATTTACAAATTTTAGGATTTACAGAAATCTCAGGGGTGTATCTCTTAAATAGCAAGGGTCTATTACAAAGAGGAAGAGACGAGAAGTAGCTCCAATGTTTACCATGAATAGGTGCGCTGGTGAGAAAGAAGGGTTTTTCTCACAAACCCATTTTGCTATCTTCTATTTTGACAATCTTAGAATGACAGACTTTTCTTTATTCCCCACATCCAAAATAATGGAACTCTGGCAGATATTGCCATTATAACAAAAGGTTTAATTTAGATCTGTAAAATACAGCTATAGCATTGCATTAGATGTAGCAATTAAAACACATCTGGGTGATGGAATGAAACATTCACAAGAATCTTAACGACAGCTGAGGTCATGCGTGAAGCTTAATTGTTCATGTGTGGTGTAATCTTATAACAGTACTATGGGAAAAAAAAACCCTAAATGTGGCTGTTGTTAACAGGAGACACTTAGGAGACTTTTAAACATTTTACCAAAACAAAAGTCATAAAGAAAACACCCCACTTCTGAGCAAGCTGTGTTGAGTCTTTTTTGCTAATGTTTGCTTGTTCTCCCTGGAAGGTCATTCTTTCAAATAGTGTAGTGATAACTGCAGTCACTATGGAACATGTATGATGAATTTAGGTCAGGTTAATTTCAGGAGAAGCACTCCCTCAGAGAAGGAGTTAATGGGTGGAGACTAGAGTTGACTACAGAATACAGTCAAGCGCCTGGCTGTGTATAAAATTAAGCAGGGTTTCTTTTATGACGTGCTCATACTTTGAGTTGATTTTTGTCATTGGGTTTCACAGGAGCCCTGTGTTCCAACATTTCTTTTACTCCTCATAATGCAGAAGAGCTCTGTGTGCCCATAACAGGCATTGTCTTTATTCATAGCAAATTGCCATTAAGATTAAGATGCAATTAATTTCCTCTCTGGCTCTCTCCGTACTACGCTGTAAATTCACCCAAACAAAGCAGTTGCAAATGTTAAAACTGGAAAGAACTTTAAACTCCCCTTCCCTAGCCCTGTTTCTTAACTGATGAGAAAATGGAGTCCCAGAGAAAGGGTAGGGCTTGCAACATAGCATGCCACTTAACCAACCCTCATTAACCCGAATTGTAAACTGAAGAAGTCCTTTCTCACCCGCTTCTCAGAATCACTATAAGAATAAAATTAGATAATGTACACAACAGTGTTGAGAACAGTAAAAATAACAGTAATAGTAATGATCATAAAGATAAAATTTATTGAACACCTGGTATGAACCAGGCACTGTGATTACACATATGCTCCCACAAATCATCACAATCTTATCACAGAGGTGCATTTATTACTCCAACTTAAAAATGAAGAAACTGAGGCTTGGAGATTTGCCCTCGGTCATAAGCTAGCTAGTAGAGAAGCTAGAAGTTAACTTAGGGCGTCAAACATTAAACATAAGCTCATAGGTTTTACTTATCACCTGAGGATTCACACTGGAGTCCATACTGGACCACCATTTTCTTAT